TATAATATTATATGATATTATAATTATAAAAATATTATTAAATAATTAAATATATATAATATAATTAATGAAACATTGAAAATTGGGACATGCGAATAAATAGATGGAACACGGCCACCACCTTTTAAGGTAAAGGTTTATCTTGTACTTGTGGATAAAACAATTTGTTAATTTTTTTATCAACAAAATAATTTTTTTATTATAATAAGAATATAAGGGTACTCTTGTCCTTTTTTCTTTTTTTTTTTGGGAGCATAACAAAATGGTTTCGTTACAAATATCGCCATACGTCATCTACAAAGATAACAAATAGTAAAATACAACTGGAACAAAAGATCAGAGTAGACTCATATCCAGAGGCTGAAGAGAGGTGCATTTAGCACTCGAACAACCACGAACGACCCAGGATATACCACGGTTTTCGGTCAATCGATCCATACGGCGCACCTTTCTATCTACCCTTGAAGAAATTGTGCCAGGCTCCAGGATGCCGGGGCGATCACCTGATCAAGGGGCAGTAGTCCCTTGGAATCAGCAGAAGAGCCGCGGTGGGCGTCAGATCTGGCAACCCTTGCACGCGCCGCCACAGATTCGTCGGAGGAGAAAGAAGGCCGCCGGATTTGCACTGAACATAACAAGAAACAAAAAAAAAACCAACGAGCCCTTACCAAGATCAACAGGAAAGAGCCGAGGGTCGTCGAAACTGAAAAAAACAAACTGTACAAGAACACAAAACAAAACAAAACAACCAGAAAATAGAAAAACCAAAAGGGGTCATTGGAGAGGGACCCAGAAACTGACAAACCCTGAAGGGTCATCGAAGGAGGGAGCACAGGCCGGCTCCAGCATGCTTGAGTGGCCGGAGAGCCTAGCGGCTCAAGCAGCAAAACCTCGGAAGCTCAAAGGCTTCCAATCAAAACAAACGCAGCGCCAGAGAAGGGAGGCAGAAGCAAGAGAGAAGGGAGAGAAAAGGGGAAAGAAGAGAGAGAGTATTGGGGGTTTTTGGAGGTATTGGGTACTCTTGTCCATTTTAAATATAACAGACAAGGCACATCAATACCAAGAAGGCCTGCATTCCAATTGCTTTAACCATTACCAAACCAAAGCAAAAAAGGCTCAACAAATCCATGCCACTGTCCATTAACCAATCATCCGTGCAATTTCTGCTATTTATGAAATTGTTTTAGACCACTTTTATTGCTACGTACCGCACACTCACGTGGTCTTGGCAACAACTCATGAAATGAGAAAACACACATGGCACAATTTGTTAATATACGTGAGATTGATCAGGTTAAAATATTAAAAATTAATATTTACTCAAAGTAAAAATTATTGATATATTTTTAAATTTAATATATTTATCAATACTTATTTTTTCAGTTATTAAATTTTATAATTAAAAGTTTTTCATCTTAAATTTCAATTTAAAAATAATAAA